GGTGGTGGGAGGGCCTGACGGTACCCTCACAGGTGGTGGTGAGGGGCCTGACGTGGTGTAGTAATTCCTCACAGGTGGTGTATGAGGGGCCTCACGTGGTGTAGTAATTCCCTCACAGGTGGTGTTATGAGGGGCCTGATGTGGTGTAGTAATTCCCTCACAGGTGGTGTTATGAGGGGCCTGATGTGGTGTAGTAATTCCCTCACAGTGTGTGGGTCTTAGGAAGGAGAACTGGCAGGGGCACTTCATGTCGTCCCCTGGGGTACCTCAGGCGCTTTATGGCCACTACCTACACCACCACTACACCGCCACACTTACAACCAACCTCACTACCACCACCACTACAACCACCACCACCACCACCACTACAGGAGCATCGTGCCTCCCCTCCAAGACACACCAAGAGCTTCCGGTGCTGGTTACTACCTGTGTCACCTCCAATTACTGCCAGCGTTTATGACCAGTGGGACCTAACCTGTACAGGGAGAGAGGTGGTGGACACTGATACTGGTGGCGGTCATATGAAGGCTACGGGTAGTGGTAGTGGTGGTAGCCTTGATGAGAGAGAAGGTAATGGTGTTAGTGGCTGTGAAGATAGTGGTGGTAGGTTTGTGTAGCTGGGGGAGCTCTCTCTCTCTCTCTCTCTCTCTCTCTCTAAACTTATGAACAGCCACTGGGAGCGTCCAGTCATCTTGAAGCACCAGTAGCTGAGAACAGTGCTGAGGAGTCCTCCCTCTAGCTGAGAACAGTGCTGAGGAGTCCTCCCTCTAGCTGAGAACAGTGCTGAGGAGTCCTCCCTCTAGCTGAGAACAGTGCCGAGGAGTCCTCCCTCTAGCTGAGAACAGTGCTGAGGAGTCCTCCCTCTAGCTGAGAACAGTGCTGAGGAGTCCTCCCTCTAGCTGAGAACAGTGCTGAGGAGTCCTCCCTCTAGCTGAGAACAGTGCTGAGGCTGAGGAGTCCTCCCTCTGGCTGAGAACAGTGCTGAGAAGTGCTGAGGTCCTCCCTCTAGCTGAGAACAGTGCTGAGGAGCAGTGCTGAGGTCCTCCCTCTAGCTGAGAACAGTGCTGAGGAGTCCTCCCTCTAGCTGAGAACAGTGCTGAGGAGTCCTCCCTCTAGCTGAGAACAGTGCTGAGGAGTCCTCCCTCTAGCTGAGAACAGTGCTGAGGAGTCCTCCCTCTAGCTGAGAACAACGCTGAGGAGTCCTCCCTCTAGCTGAGAACAGTGCTGAGGAGTCCTCCCTCTAGCTGAGAACAGTGCTGAGGAGTCCTCCCTCTAGCTGAGAACAGTGCTGAGGAGTCCTCCCTCTAGCTGAGAACAATGCTGAGGAGTCCTTCCTCTAGCTGAGAACAATGCTGAGGAGTCCTCCCTCCAGCTGAGAACAGTGCTGAGGAGTCCTCCCTCTAGCTGAGAACAGTGCTGAGGAGTCCTCCCTCCAGCTGAGAACAGTGCTGAGGAGTCCTCCCTCTAGCTGAGAACAACTGAGGAGTCCTCCTCTAGCTGAGAACAACGCTGAGGAGTCCTCCCTCTAGCTGAGAACAGTGCTGAGGAGTCCTCCCTCTAGCTGAGGAGTCCTCCCTCTAGCTGAGAACAGTGCTGAGGAGTCCTCCCTCTAGCTGAGAACAGTGCTGAGGAGTCCTCCCTCTAGCTGAGAACAGTGCTGAGGAGTCCTCCCTCTAGCTGAGAACAGTGCTGAGGAGTCCTCCCACCAGCTGAGAACAGTGCTGAGGAGTCCTCCCTCTAGCTGAGAACAATGCTGAGGAGTCCTTCCTCTAGCTGAGAACAACGCTGAGGAGTCCTCCCTCCAGCTGAGAACAACGCTGAGGAGTCCTCCCTCTAGCTGAGAACAACGCTGAGGAGTCCTCCCTCTAGCTGAGAACAACGCTGAGGAGGCTTCTAGAGAGAGGTCTTTCACTTCCTGCCACGCACGACCCTTGACCCCGCCCACCTCCCCCGGCGGTGTGTTAGCCTGGAGCTCCCTGGCTGTTCACCTTCCATAAAGCGGGAGAGTAAAACCGCCTCAGGCTCACGATGGTCTTTTGTGTGGCGGGAGGAACTGGTGGTGGCCGCGAGAAAGGTAAGGTAGAGATGGAAGTCCCCCACCTCTTATGATGTCCTGGCCGGGGATGTGCCTTAAGAGGGGACGCTAGAGAAGACAGACGGATCATATGAAAATGTGGCACCCCAGTTTATTACACCTGATGATTAAACTCCCTTACGCTACCTGGGGGTAGGTTGTGTTGCGTTGTGTTGCATTGTATTGTGTTGCTTTGCGTTGCATTGTTTTGTGGTAGGTAAGCTTAACGTTGTGTTGGTTTAATCTTAAATTGAAATATGCTGTAGTGCTTAATTTTCACCTGTAATAGACACAAAGAGAGTTGTCATTAATATATCAGCTGCTATCAGTATATTGAAACACTGTCAGGATACTAGTGGTGGTGATGGGGCGTCTCAGAGAACGTGTTAGAGGCGCTGAGGATACTTAATGAATGGGGAATTTGCGTTTGAGTGTGAGGGACATTGAGGAGCAAAGCCAGAGAGATAGGAGACGAGTTGGGGAGGGCTGGGGGGTAGGTTGAGGGAGTTGGTGGGGTTGAGGGAGTTGAGTTGAGGAGTTGGTGGGGGTTGAGGGAGTTGGTGGGGGTTGAGGAGTTGGTGGGGTTGGGGGAGTTGGTGGGGGGTTGAGGGAGTTGGTGGGGGTTGAGGGAGTTGGTGGGGTTGAGGGAGTTGGTGGGGTTGGGGGAGTTGGTGGGGGTTGAGGGGGAGTTGGTGGGGGGAGGAGTTGGTGGGAGGGTTGGGAGTTGGTGGGGGTTGAGGGGTGGCAGGGTTGAGGAGTTGGTGTGAGAGGTTGGGGGCAGGTCAAGGATGAGAAAGTAGTCGGGGAAGGTCTAGGGGTTTCAGGTGGGTGGGGAAGGCAGAAACAGGGGACCAAGTGAGGACGGGAGAGGGCTAAATCAAGGTGCTGACGGGGGGACAGTAGGTAGGGGAGGGAGGAGGAAGGTAGACATAAGAAGGACAAGCTGGTTCACTAGTGTTGGAGCCCAAGTGTTCTGAAGAAAGAAACAAGATCATAGTTCTGTGTTAGTAGATAGAGGGAGACACTTGATGATAAATAAACGGATTACCTGAATTACCCTAAAGTTACCTGGAGGAGTCAGGTTAAGTTATAATGGTTAGGTTAGGTTTGGATAGCGTTAAGTTGGTTAATCAGGTAAAATAAGCTGAGGTGCCTAATTTTCAGATTATCCCTAAGAGACATTTTTTTTACCATTTCTTTATCAATGACAAAATAATATTGGGTAATGTTTTGAGTTTTTATTAAGTTTATTAGTATGAACATAAGTGATTTGTAAATGCATCTAGAGTGCCAAGAGTGATTCATTAGCCAAACCTCAAGCTGAATTAAGCCTTGCAAATCGAAAAACAAAAATAAAATGCGATAATTAACTACAAATTCAACACTTAGACTACTTCACCAGTTGCATCCCAGACTTAAAAGCAAAATTTATAGCGCTAATCATTCTCCTCAAACGCTTAGATAACAAAAAAAATGGCAAGAATAGGATCAGGAATGTGGTGTGTCGCTCGAGAAGAACTGAATAGTCTTGTGTCGAGATTGACTCTGTCCGTGTGCTGTCTGGCGCAACCAACATAAACAAGTGAACAGCCAGGCAGGTACTCGGGTGAATCTCTCTCTCTCTCTCTCGTGTGTGTGTGTGTGTGTGTGTGTGTGTGTGTGTGTGTGTGAGAGAGAGAGAGAGAGAGAGAGAGAGAGAGAGAGATTCGAGGGGATTTGTTTACATCGAACGTAAAGTTGTGTGTTGTTGTGTGTTTCATGAGTGTCTTAGTTTACTATATACTCTTCATACAGTGTCGTCCTCTTACGTCACCTCTCCTTTACTTCCTGTCCACTTCCTTCGTCAGTCTCGCACTTACTTCCTCCGCCAGGTGGTGTCAGTGTCAAGCATCAGGTGGTGAACGGATCTCCACACTGAGTCCCACTTCTTCTGTGACGGTGTGTGTGTGTGTGTGTGTGTGTGACGGTGTGTGTGTGTGTGTGTGTGTTTATGTATGTGTGTGTGTGTGTGTGTGTGTGTGTGACGGTGTGTGTGTGTGTGTTATGTGTGTGTGTGTGTGTGTTATTAACATTGTGGTATAGCTCAGTGATCGTCAGCTTATGGGTGTCAGGATTGAGGAGAAGTGATGGTGTGAGGTTATGGGTGGTGGTGTAAGGTGAGAGAAAGGGGATTATATGGTGAGGTGAGGGGGGTGCGGCAGAATGGGGTGGAGAAGGAAATTGGCGAGTGGAAGAGGAAGGGAAGATGTAAAGTGTGGGGAGTAGGGGTGGGGAGTGAGGTGAGGAGGGAGGGTGGTATAAAGAGGGGAAGGGTGGTGGGGTGAGGCGGGGAGGGGATACAGTGTGGGAGAGGGAGGGACGGTGGAGCAAGGTGGGGAGGAGCCGCGGAGTAAGGTGTGGTGTGGGGGGGAGGAGGGGCGATGGAGTAAGCCAGCGTAGTAACCTCGTTGTGTACTCGAGGTGGGTGGGGGGGTGGTAGGTAGTGAAGCAAGTTGACTGAGGGTCAGCCATATACGCAAAGGTAAAACAAACGCTGCCCGGTGTGTGTACTGGGGGTGGGACAGGAGGGTAACGAGTCCCAGGTAGGGTGACAGGGGAAAGGGGGCCCAGGGGGAGTGGTGGCGGCGGCCTGGGGCAGCAATTATCGGGGTTGCCCGCGGAGAGCGCCACACCCCGGCGCCGCCACACGCACGCCTCCACCTGGCCAGCTGGTGCGGCGGGCAGGAGCACAGCAGCAGTGGCCTGGCTGACCTCCACACCCCGCCGCGGGCACTTTACCTGGCCCCTCCCCCGACCGCGGCCCCTCCCACGGTCACAGCCCCGCCCACGGTCACAACCCCCAACACCTTATTGGTCGGTGGGGTCACGTGATCTCATGGGAGCCTTATAAAGCTGACGCGTGGCCGGGGCAAGGGTCAGACCAGTATACGATACAGAAGCCGACATGTCTGTGTCTGACTGGTACTTCCCAGCGTCGCATCCTGGCTACTCCAGCCACCTTGATCACAGCACCATGTACCTCGATCAACTCGCCTGCCCGAGCCCGCCCTACACCACTGGATCTTACACCTTGCCCGCTCAGTGCTCAGACAGTACTTCCTCTAAAGAAACAAGTAGTTGGTCTACTTTGGAAGGAAGAAGTTCGTCAGATGGTCGCCCAAGTCCCTCGTGTTCCCCGACCAGCAGTTGTGAGAGTGTTGAGTGCAGTTCGTCTCATGGGTGGAACACACACATATCGGGGCCCTCGTCTTGGTCGTGGGGAGCCCCTGGCACCACGCATCCTGTCTTGGCTGCTGTCTCAGACTTCAACAGCCCGGAGTGCTCCTTATCAGAAGCCCGTGGTCGCCAAGCTAAATGTCGTCGAAGACCACCCAAGATTGTGGGTCGTGAAGTGATCAAGAAACGTCGCCTGGCAGCCAACGCTCGGGAGAGACGCCGGATGAATGGTCTTAATGACGCCTTCGATAAGCTTCGTGAACATATTCCTGCCCTCAGTGGTGACCAGAAACTCTCTAAATTCGAGACGTTGCAGATGGCGCAGACGTATATCTCGGCCCTGGTGGAGCTTCTGCAATAGTCGCGAAGGATGAGAGAGTAACATCTGGTCAGCTGTCACACCACTGTGTCGGCCTACGACGTCTACAGCCCGTGAACCTCAGTGCCGCGAGTGATCAAGTGCCACCACTGCCCCGTGACCACCGTTTTGTTAGGAACTGGGACTGGAAGTGTCCAACATGTCCAGTGATTGGATAAGTCTGGACCTCTGAAAGTCCACAAGTGTCTGTTCCGACTAGTGTCCGGAAGCGCCCGCCCGAGCTCCTAGTGTCGAGGAGTGCCACAAGGGCCGGGAGCTAGCAGCACGAGGACTCACCGAAGAGACGTAACCAAAAACTGTATATTATTCATATAATCACAAACTGGCTCAATTTAGTGTTTATCTGTACAGATCACAAATGTATGTATATGTTATGTATCATAAAATGAACTATTTTGTTAATAAAACGTAAGAAATTTATATCTTGGTCTAGTTAATATCTTCCTCTGAAACTACCAGTAGACAAAATATTGTTCTCTCTGATATGATAAGAATATGATAGTTGCTATGAAGTGCTGCACGAAAAACAAACAAACAGAAATAAGTGAGAAAGAGTCTACCATGTTCTGTCCTAACCACCAATAACAAAAGGTAATATATAATACAACTTGTTAACAGATTAAGAGTAAAGAACTATAAACGATATAATTACACCAAAAGCATATTGAGTGATACATTTTCTTGGCTACATGAACAAGATCATTAAACTAACTCCAAACTTTCATTCTTCATATTTGGACAACTTGACAATGGCTGAGTGCAAACCATACGTGGAAACTCTCACCTTTACTACACATGGTACTCTTAATACACCTGACTCACACCTCTACCTCTACACATATCATAATGAAAAATAATACCTCCTTAAATGTAATGTCATTATAATATACTGACTAATATCATGAACTTTATATAATAATGTTCTTTATGTAGGTACTTACACAGTCTGATCAAACTTACTGTGAACAATGAAAAGGTTATTAGTGTGAAGACTTAAACATGAAGTGGATAAATTATTTGCTTACATTAACGAGAATAATGCAAAGCTAAATCAGGTAATTTAAAACAAAAATTCCCTTACACAGAAACTAAGTCACTTCGACGTGTTTACAACTCACAATGAGGCTACTAACCCAACCCCACATGTTGATTAATTCACAAGAGACAGACAGACTCATTCTCATATACATACCGAACAACATTTGATATATAACTTATAACAAACAGTCATACACGTAGATAGGCAACAACACACTGATTCATGAATATTTAGGGCCTCACAGCTGAACTAAAATAAATCACTCGGGTAAACAGGGAAAATAAAAGCAGAAGAGGAGACATAAACAAGGTCACTGTCATAGCTGTTCTGTTATCGCCATCACAAGAAATATAATTCATTCTGTTGCTTCAAAAATATCATCACTGTCATCAATATTGTCATCATCAATGTCAACATCGTAATCAATATCATCATCATCATCATCATCATCATCATCATCATCCCCAGGGAGAACAATTACCACAGTCACTGCCCAAGGTAAACACACACACACACACACACACACACACACACACACACACACACACACACACAAATCACTGTCAGAAAACCATTATATAAATCACTGCTCAAGAAATGCATCATCAACATTACTGACAGATAACTACACTATACAAACCATTTATCAGAACAAACCTGTACCATACCTCCAGAACAACGAAATAAAACAAGAACATTTGAGAAGAACATTATCCTGTGGCAAAAAAAAAAAACCACACTCAATTATTATACTACATCACTTGAACTTATCCATGCACAAAGTCTCTCTCAGTGGAAGACTCACAAGCCGACAATAACACTTTAGTAAATCCAAAGAACATTCAGTGTTGTCAGTATAATTGTGATAAATGTTACTAGTGTGATTGTTATGTAAATCTCTTCTGGCTATGATAAGGTAACACTACTCTGTTTTGAGATTATTGTTGCTGTATAATGTTAAATCAGATGGAAAAAACTTAAGAATGGTGGTAATAAAAGTATAAAAATAAGTTATCATCTGAAACTGATTTTTTTCCCCCTCTAAGATATTACTAGATCCTATCATCAAAGATCTTCTAGGTTATAAATCTCACAAAGTCATGAATATATATAACACAGTCAAGTCTCGGTACGTGTGAAGCTCTTCTACACCGCGACCCTAACTCAAGTCACTGATGAACGACGCGAGGATCTGCAAATCTTTCATCAATAACAAACATTTCTCAAAGCATCATAAGTTCATTTCTCTTCACTGGAGACGTAAGTATTAAGTTTAAACACAAAATAAACCTCCTTTACATAACATTACCCTTTGCACTAACTCCCTAAATCAACAGACTCGTTCATTAAACACAAGTTACGAAGGATTATAAATGAACATAATGTCTGTGTATCTCGTGGCAGGCCTCCAGCGTGGTGTTCAAAGTGGTAACCTTGTCCTATCACACCACCGCCATGTTCAGTGGGTGTGAACACTCCTAATTTATCGTAAGAGACGGGGTATGTAGGTCTCCGTAGTCTTGAGTGTGTCAGTAGTCTTGAGTGTGTCAGGGTTCCCGTTATCACCCAGTGGTTATGGGAAGCCATTAGTGTCTTTTTAAGTATGCAGGTGTAGTCCCGTGTAAGTGTGTCAAATGTTCCCCCTCAGCATCTTCGTCCAGTGCCTCCAAGCAGTGAGAGTGTGCTGGTCACCACAGAAAACGAGAGTTGATCCTGGGAGGTTTTTTAAATAGGAAGTTGCTTGTTGGTGAAGTGAGATAGAAAATACTTATATTAAAATACCAAATCACTTCACAATTAACGAATCAGTTGAATAATTTTATTGTTAACCAAATATATCAAGTGACAACAACACAGAGAAGAGAAAAAAGAATGTATAATAAAGGGATCCGTTTAGCCTATAGAAGTGTTCTCTCTTTCTCTCCCTCTCTTTCTCGCTCCAGCGAATGATTCCCGTGTGTTCATTATTCAGTGAGCGATTTAAAAAAACAATTATGGCAATGTCTTAATATGTCACACAAACAAAGACACGCATATTTCTTGTGCAAAATATTTTCTTTACTCCCTGAGACACAAAGGCAGGCACACGCACGCAAACGCACGCAAAAAAGCGCGCGCACATACACGTACAGCCATTCTACGGTTTTCAACTGCCACATTTCACACACACACTAACACCCTCCTCCCACCCTAAACCACCTCAAGAATCAGGGAGGTTTGGCCAAGCCTTGCCTTGTGTACAGGCACCCCCCGATTGTGGGCGTGTCGTGGGCGTGGCTCTAGGTGTGCGGGCGTGGTGGGCGGGGAGACATGAAGCGTATCGGGTGTCCAAGGATGCCGCCACCACCTCCGCCACGCCACCGGGCCAAACAGGTTCTTCGTCCACAAAAAGTTACTTTGCTGTGATTCCGAAGACGAAGCTCATACGTAACTCTCCTTGCATTCATTATCTCTCCTATTATCATTCATCTTTTATTGTTGCTATTCCTCCTCCTCCTTCTGCACCTCTTCCTCCATCTCCTCCACGTTGCCATTGTTTATTGTTTTTTTGCACCGTTTGTTTTCATGTTGAGTTAAAATTAATGAGGGCAGACTCGATGGTGGTGGTGACAGTAGTGGTGGTGGTAGTAGTGGTGGTGGTAGTAGTGGTGGTGGTGGTGGTAGTAGTAGTGGTGGTGGAAGTGGTAGTGGTAATGGCAACAGTGGTAGTGGCAACAGTGGTGGTGGTGATAGTGGGTGGTGGTGATAGTGGTGGTGGTGGTGGTCATAGTAGTGGTGGTGGAAGTGGTAGTGGCAACAGTGGTGGTGGTGATAGTAGTGGTGGTGGTGGGGTTGACAGTGGTGGTGGTGACAGTGGTAGTGGCAACAGTGGTAGTGATGGTGGTGATAGTAGTGGTGGTGGGGGGTGACAGTGGTGGTGGTGACAGTGGGTGGTGGTGGTGACAGTGGTGGTGGTGTAGTGGTGGTGGTGATAGTAGTGGTGGTGGTGGGGTGTGGTGGTGGGAGACAGTGGTAGTGGTGGTGGCAACAGTGGTAGTGGTGGTGGTGACAGTGGTAATGGTGGTGGTGATAGTAGTGGTAGCAGTAGTGGTGACGGTGGTGGTGACAGTGGTGGTGGTGATAGTGGTGGTGATAGTAGTGGTAGCGGTGTGGTGGTGGAGACAGTGGTGGTGGAGACAGTGGTGGTGGAGACAGTGGTGGCAACAGTGGTACTGGTGGTGACAGTGGTAATGGTGGTGGTAATAGTAGCGGTAGTGGTGACAGTGGTGGTGGAGACAGTGGTAATGGTGGTAGCAACAGTGGTAGTGGTGGTGGTGACAGTGGTGATGGTGATAGTAGTGGTAGCGGTAGTGGTGACAGTGGTGGAGACAGTGGTAGTGGTGGTGGCAACAGTGGTGGTGGTGACAGTGGTAATGGTGGTGGTGATAGTAGTGGTAGCGGTAGTGGTGACAGTGGTGGTGGTGACAGTGGTGAGTGGCACCAGTAGTAGTGGCAACAGTGACAGTGGTGGTGGTAGCCGTAGTGGTGGTGGTGGGGTGACAGTGGTAGTGGTGGGGCAACAGGTAGTGGTGGTGGCAACAGTGGTAGTGGTGGTGGCAACAGTGGTAGTGGTGGTGGTGTGGTGGTGGTGGTGGTGATAGTGGTGGTGGTGGTGGGGGTGGTGGGGGTGTAGGGGGTGTAGGGGTGGTGGTGGGGTGGTGGTGGGGTGTGGGGGTGATAGTGGTGGGGGTGAGTGGTGGTGGCAACAGTGGTGGTGGCACCTCATCAACGACAGCAACAGGAACAAACAGCAGCAGCAGCAGCAACAGGAACAAACAGCAGCAGAAGCAACAGGAACAAACAGCAGCAACAACAACAACAACAAACAGCAGCAACAACAACAGGAACAAACAGCAGCAGCAACAACAGGAACAACAGCAGCAGCAGTAACATCATCATTGGTGATAAATGCCGTAGTAGTGGGAACAATGATCCAGCAATACTACCAGCGGGAAAACATCGGCAGTAGTATTTGGACACACACACACACACACACACACACACACACACACACACACACACACACACACACACACACACACACACACACACACACAATAAAAAAAATCCGGAGATTCTACGATTATTGCCTCCTGTCTAAGTCTCGTGGCTCTTCTCTCCTCTCCTCTCCTCTCCTCCATTTATGTTCTTTGGATTATTTGTCACTGCATTATGTATGCAAGTGGTGAGCGCTGAGAACAAGTTAACCCGCAATGCTCTCTCTCTCTCTCTCTCTCTCTCTCTCTCTCTCAATGTTTGGTGTTACCGCTAAAATAAGGCCAACATTATCATATATTAAGGTTAACATCAATGAAACCATCGTTATAATGTTCTTCAAAAT